CTCTCTCTCTCTCTCCCTCTCTCTCTCTCTCTCTCTCTCTCTCCCCCCCTCTCTTTCTCGTTCCCTCTAACCTGCCGCCCCCGCCCGATTTCGACCACCCCGCCAAACACTGGCGGCCGTTCCGACCGTTCTATTACAGGGACAAGCATTGCGGCTAATGCCGTCCGGCCGTAAATTATGTGAAAGCGATAGACGGCGGCCTAGGTAACGCCACACCTGTACGGTTTTTCGGCTTATACACACGTGCGCGCGCGCGCGCGTACGCGGCTATATGTGCATGTGTAGAACATAGTCGAGGCCACTCGGTGTTTCAACCGCAAACCGAACCTGCGAGGGATTTCGAGACTCCGGCTGCGATACCTGCTAGATCCATCCGAGCGGATCGAGTCATCTGGTTACTATACGGCGGCGCGAGCCGATAACGAGCGATCGTACGTTTGTCGCCGCTTATCCGCTTGTCCGCGTTCCGATACCTCATTGATCGACGTCGGGCTCAAAGCACTTGAATTCCTCGATCATCGTGAAATTCGAGTAACGCGGAACGGAGTCGTTTCGCAGGCCGCGCGGCCCCGTTACCTTGCACGTCGCAATTTTTCTAAACCACCGACTTTAGAAACCAGATACGCGCGATCTCCTCCGCCATTTTATTGCGTTCCCGAGGACCTTGTTACGCGCAAATTTATAATCGCGATCGGGCGAGGCGGTTGGAGAGACTTATCTTCCCGACAATATCATTAACTTGGAGAAACAAAGTGGAATTGTGTCTAGCCACGTGAACGCCGTATCGATTATCCAAAAAGCACGGCGCGTACAACGGTTAATCTAATGTCTAGACACAATGGCTCCGTGGCATACATACGACCGAATTTCGCCGATGTGCCAGCGGATCTTTTGCGAGAAGAAACGATTAGACGTGACGATTGGTAGTCTCTCGTTTGATTGCGTACGCTAAAACGACGGTTCAGCAGACGAGGCGGCAGAGAGAGGGAGAGAGAAAAAAAGAGAGAGACGCCAAAGGTTGAGCAGGTAGGAGATAGGCCAGAGAGAGCTCTTGATCTTCCGGGGCAATTAAATGAATTTCCACTCGGGTGGAATAGCAAACGTTTAGACGGCTCCGCGTAAGATATTCTGGGAAGCTCTCGGGAATATCAGAGACGTAATATCGAGAAGGAGGAGCGGAGGCGTAGTTTGTAGGCTAGAAGTAATACACGGGAACCTGGTTCGCCCTGCTCGACTCCGTCTGTCGTGGCCAGCCTTTCTGCCTGCCTGCCTACCTGCTTCCCTGCCTGCTTGCCTGCCTGCCTGCCTGCCTGCCTGCCTGCCTGCCTGCCTGCCTGCCTGCCTGCCTGCCTGCCTGCCTGCCTGCCTGCCTGCCTATCTATCTGTCTGTCTGTCTCTGTCTTCTCCAGCGGTCTATCTGCTTGCCGCATGTCGCTGACTCGAATCGATTTTCAGGCCAACAATGCACGACCGTGCAGATCGATTTGATACCCCCCTCGTTCTCTCATCCCTTTCACCCGATACACATCCCGAAATCCCGCACCTCTCGAGCGTATCAAAAATGCAGACTCTAAACTTCGATTAGGTTAGGTAGAAACGTAAGTCACTGTTATGTTGTCAAAGAATAATAGTCCATTCGCGCGGTATTACGCGTATGATTTTTCGACATAAATTAGCCATACGCTTGGTTGTTACTTTTGTATATGCAGCTATTTGCTTATCAACATTATCAACATTAGGAAGCGTAGGTGAATCAATTACGCTATAATAAGCACGATTAATCGGCCCGACTGCATTAACCACGCCGTGATATTTACCTAAGCTTTACATAACCGTCTATAATAACGCGAGCTATATCCTCGCCAGTGTCTGGGAACGAGCACAGAAATAGTGTACCGTGCAATTTAGAGGTAACATACGCACAGGTATCGCGTTTAATATCGTCATACTTACAATTCAAACACTCGCGCCCAACACAAATAACGCTCTAAGCTTACCAAACTGCACGTGAGTCATCAATAAAAACAAAAAACAAATTGCCCGCGCGAGCGCAGGGCTCTATTTTTTTAGCTCGACGTCATAAATGCAGCTGTGAAAAAATTATTTGAGCGGGTCAGCAACTAAACAAATAGCTGTTGTATTTGCGATTGTCGCGGTTATTTATAAATCCCCTTGACTCAATATTACAGAACTGTATCAGTAGTCGTTGACTGAAATTGGCCACAGGCGAGATACACAGATTTGAATTCAGAGTCTGGTGTAAATCAGCTGAATCCCGATTGCAAATGTAATGTCACATATTGTATCGTATTGTGTGATTCAAGTAAAAAGTTCAACTTTAAATTCATATTTGAGTATCTCACGTGGGACAAGTTTCAAATAATGACCTATAACGGGCCACAGACGCCTAATAGCTGAATAATAGCTGAAATAATCGCTCGATAATGGATCGCGCTCAACGGAGAAGCCGCGTCATCCGCGGCGCGGTGATATTTACCTAAGCGTTATATCAATAATAACGCGAGCTATATCGGCGTCGTTACGTGGAAAAGGGCGCAGAAATGGTGCACGGTGCAGTTTAGAAGTAATACGCGAGAACCTGCCAGACCGTCCACCTGTGCACCAGCCGCTTACCTGTCGCGACCTGCGTCCGTCTGTCTGTCTGTCTGTCTATCCGTCGGCGTGTAAGCCCGCCAGACTGTCTACCGCTTGTCGCCGACTAAAATCGATTCCATAACTAACGATACGGGTCCCCGTGTCTACTATACCTCCGTGTCACCCCCTTTGATAATGCCCCATGTTTTAGCATCACCTCTCTTTCTCTCTCTCTCTCTCTTTCTTTCTTTCTTCGCGTCCCGCTTTTTACGCTATCGTACCATTCGTGTGCGAAACAACAAAGCTATCTACTCTGGTAATATTTAAAAGCCCGAAGATACAAATGCTTTTGTTAAAAGCAGGGAGAAGCTTTTAACTTGTTCTTCTCAACCTGACAGCGAATTAGCTCGACCTACGAGAATCTATTAAAAGCGCGCCCGACGTCTCCATGGACGGGAACCACCAAGTGCAAATCGTATATCTAATTTTCGCTCGATATTCTGCAATAAGATTTTACGTGTGTGCTATGTTCAAATGAATGTAACGGCATCTGTTTATTTTTAGAGCGGCTAAAAGTTGATCGTCTAATGCGCCTACGTCTGTAGCCGCGCGATTGAGCTCTTGTAGTCGTCTTTCAGATTCGCGTATGTGACGAATTCGAGGTATGCCAACGGTCACGTGCCGCGCAAAAAGTCAATCACCCGAGCGATGCAAGGTGCTCCGTGTCGCCTGTCGAAAGACAAGCCGCACGCCAAAGTGACGAGATGGACACGAGTGTCGCTCCGAGTCGAAATTTTCAATCCACATTAATTCTATAGATATATTATAGAAGCTTTGAAAAAGGATCAATGCAGAATCTCGAGATGTAACACTATACAGACTATTGTGCTATAATGCCTGCAATGCTAGTACACAGAAGAAAGATATTCTTCTTTGGAGAATATTTTTATTGTTGATATTTGAAAAATAAGGTTAATGTTAAAATGAGATTATATGGCGTTTTAAGCGAAGATATATTAGTTTTCAATCAAAATGAATTTAGTCAAATTAATCTAATCGTTTTCTCATAGAATATTACAATATTGATATTCTTGGTTATATATTATTAGTCTTCAATCAAGATGAATATTGTCAAATTAACACAATTATTTTCTCAATCAATCATTAAGCAAAAATGTCAATATTGTTATACTATATTTATCTTGACTAATAATATATAAGCAAGAGTATATTAATATTGTAATATTCTATAAGAAAATAATTATGTTAATTTTATTATATTTATCTTGAAAGCTAATTTATCTTCGCCATATAATTTTATTTTAACATTAATTTTATTTTTAAAACGTCAATAATAAAGATATATTCCAAACAGGAATATTCTTTTTTTCTGTGTATAATGTTTTGTTTATATAAAATCTTAGAGAAACTTTTCCAAAATTATTTAATATTCAATTATCTCAACTTAATTCTTATTTTTCCTCCTTTTTAAATTATATATTTTCCTTTTAATTATCTATTCTTAATTTATTTACGATCTTTACGAAAATATTATGTAAAATGCGTGAAACACTTACGATCGTTGACTAATGACATAAATAAAATTATATATTTATATTAATATTTTCTCTAGTAGTAGCTTCACAAATAAATATTTCTTGTACCGAATAAGTAGTAAAAAATATAGGCGAATAATTGGAGAATTGTAAAAAAATTATGCTCATTCATCAAATGATGAAAAATTATGAGTACCGGTTTTTAAAGTTAAAGGATTCTAAATTTCGACTGGAGTATCTCGCTGTCCTCAATAAATTCGTCAAACGTCCGCCAATAGCGGAAATGCTACGCGATAAATGACTTGACACACCTTGAAATATATGATATATCGCTGCCAACGCCCCTACGTCCTGCATCCTGCGTCCTAGCGCCCCAATCCGGCATCCGGCTCCTAGCTGTTCCGGATATTCCACCATAGCACTGACACTCACGTAACACGATTCGATCGGAGTAACGCGTTAATAAACGCGATGCCGACGAGAGCCCGATACGCACAATAGCGTAAAAGTCTACGAGATATTTCAATCAGCTAATAATATAATATTATGACGCGCTCCGCGCGCGGCACGTGCGTAGCTCGTCGATTCGGTACGTAATGTCTAGGTCGCGCGAAAAAATGCGCACAAAAACAATCGGTGAGATAAGCAGCGAGATAAGCCACTCCCACCAAGCGTCGTCGCGCGCCTACGAGTAGCGCGTGTATGCATTACTGGCAAAAGAACGTAGCGTAATAAAATTCGCGTGTATCTCTAGCATTATATTAGCTATCTGTCTTTCCAACTAACGTCGCATTACTCATTCCTTTTTAATCCTGACAATCGTCCGATTCTGTTGCTACTTGAGTAAGTCTGCGATAACAAATGTGAGAGACATCGGCGCGACAAGTACCGACTGCATTAAATTGAGAAACGGGGAAATTACTCCCTGATACGTACTGACGACACACCCTGACGACCGCACATCGCTATTTCGGCACTCCCCGATACTTGCTTCCGCACCGAGACTCACTTTCGAGAAGCAGAAAGACGCACAAAACACAGAGCGATGTCGATCGATGTGTCAATAGCGGTTGTCGGTGCGAAAAGATCGAAATCCAAGATGGCCGAGTAATTGAGGTAACGTACGCCGACAATAAGCGCCACCATACGAACGGTCCGACAAGGATGCACTCTGTAAAGTACCCCTCTTTCTCTCTCTCGCACGCGCACTAAACAAACTAACGTTATCGCTCGCGATTCGGCGTCGCGTATGACTCTGACGTTGTTATAACTTCCTCTTTTACTCGAATTATCACCGAATCCCCAATCTCCGATTAATATATCCCACGATTGTACCACTTGAGTGAGCCAGTGGTACTTACAAGTGCGAAAGACGCTTACTCGACACGTCGTGACAAGCGCCGGTGGCATACGCCGGGAAATGAGATTATTCGCTGCTGACGTACTTACGATACTTCCCGACGATCACACATCCCTATATATTTCGGCACTCCCGATACTTATTTCCGCATAAGACTCTCTTTCGAACGACAAAAGGGTAAAACGCGGAGCGATGTCGATCGATGTGTGAATGGCGGCGGCTCGATGCAAAAAGATTGCGCGCTCTGTCACACACGGAACGGCGCGGCAGGTGGCGTCGCGGTAGCCAATCAGCGTGCCGCAATCCCGTATAAGCTAGATGATTGGCTGCCTTACCATTCGATAGATCGATCTACTAGAGAGATCGATTTATTCAACACATCGATAGTCATTAACTATTTCCGAGCAGCCACATTCTTTCTAGCTAAACACTTCTCATGACTTGATTAAGTTCTATATTAATCAATAATCATGAAAAAATGCATACCTAGATGCAGATGCGACTGACCAAAAACTGTTAAAGCAATTATCGACCTATCAATGGTAATGCATCCACGGGACTAAACGTACACTGAATGTAGTTGAGAGAATATTCAACGCTATAAAAACTTTCAAGATTTTTTCGAAGCATAATCGAACGTATCAGAGTCGTGTATATTGAAATACCGCTCGTAACGTTCAACTAACATTACTAGATTAATAGACAATTATTAATTAACGTTGCGTTTCTAATCGACGCGTATTTTCATGTGATTGCCTGCCTACGATAATGATGACCAGAATAGCTGACTTCAAAACAGAATATATGATGAGCTAACATAATCAACAACTATATCTATAATTTCTTCTTCTTCACTTATTTTGTATGTTTATGTCTTATCAAAATTTCCAACGCGACTAAAAAAAGAGACGAAACTGGGAAGCTTGTGTGTGTTATTTATTCATATATTGTGTCTACCTATTTTTGCAGCATCAAAAGGCAACAACCTGTTAAACGTTACACCTTGAGGTGCTGCATTGATCCTTCAAATTTGACGAAATTTGCACGGTTTAATATAGAAACAAAACGAGAACTTATTCGCAATCCACTGACCCTAATTATCAACGATATTTCATGATTTTTCTCCATGAGATCGTTGTTTGAAAAGGCTGAAGCGCGTCGAGACCGCAAACTCTGAGCGTTCTCTACCTTGTACCACCAATCCCCAAGCCTGTACATCGCTCCGCGCAGCAGCAGCTATATAAGCTGAGCCCACGGTGAAAAAAGGGAAAAGAAAAGGGAACAAGAAGCCCGTCTTTCCGCATTTTAATCTTCCTCCGGCGCGGGCGAGAATATTGAAAAATTCTGCGGACGGGAAGGCGGAAGGCGCGCCGAACACCTCATCCTATCGGACAGGTACATCCTGTCGAGTGGTTCGCCAGGAAGAAGGCCGGGGAAAAGGGTGGCTGAGTAGATGGGTGGGAAAAGGTAAAAGAGAGAAAGAGAGAGAAAGAAGTCTCGTAATCGTCGGCGGGACGATTCCGCTCACGAGCTCTCGCGCGCGCGCGAGCACACACACACACACACTGTCGTCGTCGCGCGCGCATCGCGCGTTCCGTATTTTAGTCGCGCGTTAACAGACGCGACAGGTGCAGCCGTAGCCGCCGCCACCGTCGCCACGGCGACGACGGCGACGACGACGACGACGTCGACGACGAAGGAGATGCCGTCGACGCCGACGCCGATGCCGGCGACGGCAGCTGTTAACTATGTTTTTCGTGTCTACCGGCGTGAAACGCGGGTCGGCCAACCGCCTCTTCCCGCCATCGTCGTGGGCGCGCGCTCGCGATTTTCTGATCCCCGTCACGGAAATACGACGCCGCCGCCGCTGCTGCCGTTGCCCGGCGAGAATCCCGCGAGAATCTGATGTGTGTATGTGTGTGTATGTAATGTGTGTTACTGTACGTTGACCGAGCCAGGAAACTGCCGCCTGTCGCTTTCACGGCGAGCTCTCTCTCTCTTTCTCTCCCGCGAGACAGAACTCGCGCACGCCGTTTGCGGTAAAGAGCGTCGTGAAATAGCTTTTTACTTCCTTCGTTCATTCTTCCAATATTTCCCGTCGATTACGAGATATCGCTTATTGTGCATCGAATCATCTCACTGTGTTATCGTTCGCAGAGTCTTTCTCTCTCTCTCAATCGAAAGACGTATAAATTTTTTACTCGTCAGAACTCGACCACGTTGAAGAGGCGATCGGCACGCGTCTCGGACGTAACTTCGACCGATCGGCGTCCGGACTGGAATCGCACGGATGCCTTGGCGAAATACCGAGCCGAGTGCCTCTGTGATCTGCGCATTTAAATACCGATAACGTACGTAAGCGATCTTGTACGCGCGGGCCCCGACGACGCTGCTATGGGAATCGGCGAATCAATTTAATTCCGAAAATGAAACAACATCCGACTGTTTGATTTATCTCGCACCGGCCGCGTGCCGTGAACAGAGTGAACTTATATCACTTTCGAAATTAGAGTCTCGCAAAATGTTGATATAATATTCCACCGCGCAAATATTGGTAGCTCAAACATTAAACTCGCACACAGTGGCGAACAGCGGAGCATGGCGCACGCCACAACGATATTAACATTTCGGTCTAGCTTTATTAAGCGGCGCAACAAAGAAATTTTATCGCGGCGCCCGCTACCTGTTTACGCGAGTTATCGTACCCGTTTTATTTTCAGCGGATTTTCCGAAAAGAGATCGTCATTCAGCCGGGTCGATGCGAGCTCACTGTCCCCGGCCATTATCGCCCGCGCTCTCTCGACCGCGGTTTATCAGCGTGAGAACGGAACGTTATCGCGTTCGCCGCGAATGCGTACGGCTCGCAAGCGGGCAGAAAGAAACGGCGCGTCGATCGGCGACCGGCCGTGACGAGCCGATAAAATGGGGGAGGCCGTTCATACGTGACTTCCCTAGCGTGGAAGTGAAATTTAATGGAGTATCGAGGTACCTCCCGCTCGTTCGTTAGCGACGCGCTCATCAAATTCAAGTATCTCGGCTAGAAATTTATCCCATGGTCCCTGATCGGATTGATCCCAATCAGTGTCTGGCTTGTGTGATGTGGTGACGTTGTCGGGTGCTAATTATTAATAAGTTTCTAAATATTAATGATCCTTATTAATAAGATGCTGATTGCCACGCTGCGTTGCATGGGACTCCTCAATGGCATCACCTTGTACAAACCAGATAACTGATCAATCTGATCAGGACCGTGGGGCAAATTTTTCTGGTCGCGATGCGGTGGTGCACCGATAACGGTGTTCTTCTCTCGATATCGCGCGCTAGAAGGCACCGATGTTAAATTTCAACATCGCTGCTCTCCGCAGTGGCCCGCGACATCTGCGCCCGAGAAATGGCCGATGGTCGCGCGGTCCCGCCGCGCGTAAAACGCTCGACAGCTGAATTAATTGAAAGTTTTAAGGTAATTGGAATCGATAACGCGCCGGGGGGTGAATAAGAGCTACGAGTCTGTGTGCGAGGGTACGCGGAGAACTAAGTCTGGAGACCGCACCGGCGGGGGTGGATGAGAGACAAAAGCGTGCGCGCTATACTCTACGAAGCTCGAAGCCAAAACCGGACCGGAGAACTTGGTCATATCTAACCCGGTCATATTCTCAAGTAGAAAGAGCGACCTCTTTCTAATCAGTAACTGGCCAGGAAAATTTTAATTACTGACCAGTTTCTGGCTAGTTTCTAACCAAACTTTTTTTTGTGCAAATATCGTCCATCAAACATAGCTTACATCGTTCTATTCTCAGCGTAGTAAAATATTATATTTTCTTCATCACGTGCAAATTTATTGATTATCGAGACGATTGTAGTTTTACTTTCAATTACTATTTTTTCTTGTCTAGTTTCTAATCAATAACTGGTCAAGAAATATTGACCAGTATTTCTCGAATTTTCACTAAACAGAAATACTTTGTCCAGCATTTATTGACCATTTTTATTGCCCAATTTCTAACTAGTATTCCCCTGTCTCTAAAAAATTACTGATAAATCCTAGCTAGTAAAAACTGGCCAGTTTTGTGGCTAATGAACAGTGCTCTTGGAAATTTTTCTACTCGGGTCCTCTTTTAGATATAGACGTCCAACATATATGAGGGCAAGGGGATAGAAACCGGCGGCGGAGGGTAAACGGCAATTAAACCAGAGATCTACCTTAATATCGCACTGCGCAATCGGCCTAATTGGAATTGCGAATTTTGCGCAACGACGAATCGTAACGTCATCACGTTATCGTATCGTTGCGGCTGAAATGCGAAAAGGTTAAGGGCTTTTGCGCATGGATTGTCGTAACCATAGACGTGAGGCGTAAACTTAAGCTAAAAAGCCAATCAGAATATTGTTTTAGAATTCTTCTAGCTAGAAAAAAATTGACATGACCGTATAAGTAGAATTCAGACTAAATAACTAAAATTTTAAACAGATGTACGAATCTTAATTACCTTTGCATATGATCAAATTTACCGGCAGTTCTATCTTCTTCTAGAATACAAAAAACTATAGTAAAGTCTCAATTGGATTTTTGGTTTAAGTGTATGTTTTATGTCTATGATTACGGTTATCCATGTGTGAAAGCCGTAGCGGCCTCCACCTGGCTTTAGATCGCGCTCGACGTCGTCGTAATCGTACTCCTCCACGCGTCTCCCCATCGACGTTATTAGCTCCTCCGGATTTACAACGACAATCGAACAGCCACTGTCGATTCCGAATCGACGGAAAAGTGTCAGTCCAGTCGCGCGATTCACACAGGTCACGCTTCACGGGCGACACGGTGCACCGCGTGGCGCTGGGAACGAACACACGTGAGCTAGTTTACGTAACAGGCGGGGAAATGACTGACGCGTGAGCGTATTATTTCAGAATGTAATCCCGTGCGAGAAGGTCGCGTCGCATTTCAAAACTGTTTAGTTTTAAAACGAACGAAATTACGTCACCGCGAAGTCGCTCCCAAAATTGAACGTCTATGATAGCGCGTCGTGCGCAAGCATTGTGGAATAAAAACCCGTTCCCTCCCGTTTCTTTTTTAACGATTTTTGGTTCTACAAGACCGGTTCTCCCGCCGGATCGACAGATGGCACGATATATCCCGCGTCTGCGGCTCTTTTTTGCTAGACGAGCGAGAGCGGTATAATTTCAGTGTAGCGTAATAACTTACAAATTTTATGCCGCTACCACTGTTACGTAAGCGCAATTATTATCGGCCCGCGGGGACTACCTCATCGAATTCCTCTTTGCATTTCAAGCCGAAATTTAAAAAATCATCACGGAAAGAGAAAAGGAGCGTGTAGGCTGAGAGGTGAAGTTTTTAAACTAACCCGGAAGATGACCAAAAGAATAGTCAACAAGGTGAGTCGAGGTCCCGCGAACGTTGAAATATCGAGCCGCTCGCGAGTGGCATTTTGCAGTCATTAATGGCTCTGGAAGCTTTTTGCGCAGCTGGCGAAGTTGCTACGGTGCCGCTGCGTGGCGCTACAATCTTCCTCCGCTTTTACTCTACGCGTAATTCTTGCAGTTAACATCACAATAGATTTCCTCTTATCGGACGCGCGCCGTCATAACGAGGAAGAGCGCGGGCCCCCGCGGCGAGGGGGAGAGAATAAAAGCTAAGTACGCACGGTATTGAATATATATACTGGCGGCGGTGTTGCGGTGTGTCAAATCGATGCAAACGCGAGGAAAGACGAGCCAAGTTATGCCCGCGCGTCCTTTCTCTCTCTCTCTCTCTCTCTCTCTTCTCTCCGAATCTACCCCCGGGGAATTAATCTAGCTTTTGCCTGGAGATACTATCCGCGTCTAGGGAGGAACGATAAGACGTGGGAAACGGCGATAGCCACTCTCCTTTATTTCCCAGTCGAAAAATGAGCCTTTATTTCATCGGCGAAATGCGAGAAGAGTCGCGTTGCTGGCACCTAAACGGCGCGAGAAACGAGACGGACTCCATAGGAGACTGCCGGCAGCACCGGCAGACAGTCGGGCGGCAGGAGGGAGGGAGGGAGGAGAGGGTCCGGTGTACGTAATGCAATGGTTTATTGCTAATATTTCTTCGGGGTAATATCGGCGCTCTCGAGAACGGCCGGCTTTCTCCTGTATATACCGCGGAAACTCTTAACAACGTCTCGCGCCGCGTTGTTCGGATCGGGGGGAGAATGTGCTCTCGCACGCGTTGCTTTCACGATATACAGGACACAATTCAATCTTTGCACGAGACAACCACCACGGCCGCCGTCGGGGTTGTCCGCCGTCGAAAATTAAAAGCGAAGCCAGACCACATCGCCGAGACTGTATTCCTCGGAGAGGAATATCCCAACTTGATCCCGGTTATCGAGTCACAATTGTCAATATTATATCTGAGATTAAAGGATCGCGCGGGGATATTGCAAAAGGACTACTTTCCTCAGCGGAAATTTCGATTTACGAACTCGCTCCGACGGGAATCTAACTTGATTCTTCTTCGGATATTCGCACGCGACACGCGAATTCGCCACAAACTTCCACTTCGAGCGCAAACGCACGCACGCGTGCATTCGTGTGTCGTTCGTCGCTTCTGGGCCAGCTTGCGCTACGGCGTGTACATGCTTACGCGCACGTCGCTCCATTCATTCGGAGCGATTAAACGTAACGAGCAACGGACGGACATTATCGAGCAAGGAACGTGCGAGGAACGGAGAGGCAAAGAAACGAACAACGTTCGACGGACAACGCGGCCTTTCAGGCACTACCCGCGACATTAATAGCTTGCAGAATTAAATGCGGCTCTGCCCTCGCCACAACTCGTGTGCACGATTGTGCACAGAGCACATGTGTGTGCATTGCTCTCCGTGTACGTTTGTTACACGTGACTGTGTGTGTGTACGTGTGCGTGCGTGCGCACGCGAAAACGAATCGACCGTAAACGTACCTCGAGAATATTCAGGCGACATGGCGGCAAGCCGCTCCCTGCGGACGTTATCTTTTTGCCACCTGCTATCTAATCGCGTATTCCTCGTGTGCGTGCCTGTGTGTTCATGTGACTGACTCTAAAAAGTGACGAGCAACAGTAAACGCGCGAGGCGAAAATTAACAGTCGCGGTCGCAAGAAGCGTCACCCGCGCGGGTCAGGTGCTTATATTAGTGCTACTTCGGTTTGACGGGAAATTAGCTAAAGAATGTAATTACGGAGCTTCCTCGCGTGAGAGAATTTGATTTTAATCGGACACGCGGAATCGCACAAAGCGAAGGTGAGATAACGCGTCGAATGATTAATGAGAACGCATAAGAACATTTCGAGTGCCCGGTTGGCTCTAACGATGACGTAGTCATAAATAACAATAGCAAAATTCCATTACAGTGTAACTTGCACACAACTGTATGTATTAATTGACTATTAATATCTGACGTAACAAAGATTAACGATAAGCACGTCGTTAAGTGCGACGTGATACATTTAGATGCGTGGCTTCCGACACGATTTCATAATTTTTCAGGGAAAAATTCGCCTCGATTGGGCCGGAGTGCCGGACGAGAGTTAATTCGACCTTTCGCGCCAATGTCCATCGGCATGAAATATCGAACGCCGCTTTTGCCATTGACGTTTCGTCGAGGCAAAATTTCGACAGCGCGCGATAGTCCGTAGTCCAAATCGATAATACGTGGATAATTCAGCAGTCGCGAGACCTAAAATTCCACATAAAAGCGCGGTTCATCGCGTGACCATGAAAAAAAAAGTATATATATATTACGTCTTATCTGTTGCTATCTCCAATACGTAGCCGTATAATCTAAGATTATCACGAAAGAGAGAGAAGAGATAACGACGGAGCGTCAATCGCGGAAGGATATATCGACGATAAGCGTCGCTGTATGCTATATTTGCAATTACACTGCCGCGCCTTTGCGCGCGCGTCATACGTATAACCGCGCACACGTTTCTCCCCGTTTTATCTAATCACGAACATGCGTGTATAGGTTCAATCAGACAATACGGCACCATTGACGACGACGACGACGACGACGACGACGACGACGACGACGTCGTCGGCGACGGCGGCGACGGCGCACGAACGTCGTTTCGAGAGTCTGCAATTTTTACATAATGCTCGCCAGCCTCCCCTACCCTCCCGGTCCCGTCTGATTTATCGTCGATGTCGATTGGTATTCTCGCTCCCCGCGCGTTGAATAATTGTCGCTATTAATAACTGCGAATTCAATTCCCCGGTTCAATATCTCGCGAAGGCGAGACGCTCGGAAGACGGCCGCGCCTCGTTCTGCCGTCTCACCCTCTTGCTCGCGCGTTCGTTCGTTCGTTTAATCGCGCCCTGCCTCGGCAGAGAGAGAGAGAGAGAGAGAGAGAGAGAAAGAGAGAAGGGCGCGCTTACGTACCCGCGTGGAGCGACGGAATATTCTAAAATCCATAAACCGACATCCCTCCGAGCGCCGATAGTGCGCGCCCGATCGCGGCGATAGGAGACTTATTACCCGTCGTAAATTACAACCGGTTCCTTATCTCGCCGCGTGACGTTACAAATTATCGGCTTTGTATCGGAGAGATCAGCGGTCGGAGAGCGCAGGGCCCGAGAATCGATCGGCGATCCCACGCACGCGTGCTCGCTCATTTGGACCGATTGTAGCGAGAGAGACTCGCTGCTGCCCGGCCGGGCGAATAATTTCGCAACGAGATAGCAAAGGATCCTCTCTCTCTCTCTCTCTCTCTCTCTCTCTCTTTTTCGCGAGAGCGCGTTTGACGTCGGGGCAAGTAATCTACAGCGGCTTTAGCCGTCCGTACGATGTCCGTGCAACGCGATCTACCCGCCTGCTGGTCTTACGGTATTTTAATGGCACGCGAAAGATCAAAGCGCGCCTGTCTCGCACTTTTACCTGTCTCGCGGAATCGGGAGCGTTCCTCCTCTACGAGACGACGAATAAGACGACTGGCAGTCGAGACGTTCTACATTGGCCATAGTCATTACAACGTGGGGTGGGCTCCCACTTGGCAATCGCTACGCCGTGAGCGTTGTTCTATCCTTGCTTCTCACAACTGATGTTCAACAGAGATAGAATGACTCGCTCGCGGCGATGCGATCGCCAAGTGGAACGCAGCACCCGTGATAGCTAACGCGCGCTTTGTTTGATCGAAAGAACGCGAAACTCGAAATGTCGAAAGATAAGAAGAGAGCGACGTCAAAGAGTTCATGGCAGCTTCACTTATCCGACAGAATCATGTCGTTTGACAGAACTGTCGACTCCTTCGTAATCTCGTCCAGTCTCTACTTATTAGTCACGGTTAGTGACACTTGAAACAGACGGAAGGTATCTGTCCATTGTCATGCGTTCTCGTACATCGTTAGAACAGCAGATATAACTCTTTCGCAAATTTCTCGAAGGTGCTAGGTAAGCGAAGACGGAGTTTATCGGGCGCGCGCGCCGGCAGCATTTCGCTACGCGCGAACGCGCTCGTTACGCGACTACGAAAACTCGATTATGTAACGGTTCGTTACCTTGATACTGTCGTAGCAGGCGGTGACCCGTCCGTTCTGCACCTCGACGTTAGCTGGCGGATGGGCGAACTTGCACTCCGTGTCGGGCCTGGTGCACTTGTTGCGTTGGAACTCCCTGCAAACCTCCAGCTGCAGCCACCGCGAGTCCTTGCCGTTCAGTAGGTTATTCATGTTGACCATTGCCATTCTTCCACTCCTGGAAGACCGAGTATCCCCGTCGCTGGCCTCTACGAGAGTAGTCCGACTCTACCGACTATACCGAGATACTCCTCTCCTTCCTTCCCTCCAATCTCCCTCTCTCTCTTCCTTCCTAAACCTTCTTTTCCTCGTGGCCGAGGTCTCCTTCCCTCCGGTCGTGTTCACTCGCGTCGATCGAACTGATCTTGCCAAGGATATATACACGTTTCGATTTATGGAATACGACCACCTCGCGCGACGGCTCGTCGGCACTCGTTCGCGGGATTTCGCGGTGCCCAACAGTGAACCCTTGCGTTCCACCACTCTCTCACCTGTCGTCAGTCTCCCCTCTCTCTCGTCCTTTCTCTCTTTCACGCCTCACTCGTTCTCACACACACGTTCTCATATGCGCATACACTCGCACACTCATTCACCCCTCCTCTTAATCTCTCTTTCTCTCTCTTGACTCGTTTTCTCTTTCTCTCTTCACTGTTCATACACCCAATCGAAATCCCGCGTATGCCTCGGAGTCGTGCAACTACTTGAGACTGTGTACCTTACGGCGAAGAAGAGGATCTCTCTAAGCGCGCTGCGACGAACTTAGTGTCCCATGAACGCGTCGTCTAGCGACGACCCGCGGCTCTTCCTGTGCGTCGTCGTGGATCTTCCGCGTGGAACTCGACAGCGATCTCGACCTTGTTTCGCGCGTCGAACGCGTTCTTCTCCTCGTGGTTGCCGCGAGGTGATATATCGGCGAACCGTCTCGCGAGACTCGCGTTTATCAGCGACGGCGCCGGCTGTTTCAAGCGTGGCTTATCGACGTCGCTGCTCCTCTCGCCCGATATCGATTCCGTCGCGGCGAGTTAGCCGAAGGAGTGCGGCGGTGGGCTTATATAGGCGTCGTCGTCGACGGTTAGCGATTTTGCGACTCTTTGCTCGTAGGCCGTGTGAAGGAGGCGATGGCACACGCGTTACCCGCTCGATAATCTCCGAGAGGGCGAAAGCTGCTGGTACAAGGCGCGGAAGAAGGGGGTGGGGGACAGGAATGGAGAAAGAGAGAGATATATATATATCTCTCACCGAGGTAAGAAGAAGCGAAGAGGTGAAGCTATATCGACAGCGATTAGGCTCGGGCTCCGGCCGGTTTTAGGCGAGATGACGGCCGCTCCTTGGCTCGGTGATAAGGCGACGGCGAAGGTCGTCGATCTCTCTATCTATCGACTCCTCGTTCACTCTACTTCCTCTGTCTCTCCTTCGATCTTCGCGCGGCGCACTCGGGAAGCGTAGTAGTAGTAGTAGTAGTGGTAGTAGTAGTAACAGTGGTGGTAGTAGTAGTAACAGCAGCAGCAGTAGTAGTGGTAGTAGTCTGGCAAAGCTTGAAAGCCTTCGAAGCTAAACGTCGACCGGGAGTGTGCACTCCAGCCGCGCGCTTTTCAACGAGTATCTCTCTTCTTTTGCACACAGGCTGCAGTTGGTCGCCGCCGAGGGTGTACAGGCGGGCGAGCGCGCGCGCGTTGTTGGTCGTGTATATATGTGTTTGCCTACGTATGCATGTGTCGAAAAGCCGGTCGTGGTGTCCTTCAAGCCGGTTTCACAAACCAACGCGTGTCTCGCGGCTGCGAGTCTACGTGGAAGGAGCAGGACGGTGTGATGGTCGTAGCAGAGGAGCTGCTGGTGAACCGCCGCGGTCTGCCGGTGCTGAAGTAGGAGTTGATGGAGAAAGAGAAAGAGAGAGAGAGAGAGAGAGAGAGAGAGAAAGAGACAGAAAGAAGAAGTGGTGGAGGAAGGGCCGTGCGCGCAAAGGTGGAAACCCTACGCGCCGTTTCTTGCCGGGTATCGGCGTGAGTCGGTTATTTCGGAATTTTAAGGGGACGTCGGGGCGGGCAGGCGGATGTGGACGCTGAAGAAGCGTGCGAGTGAGTGGTAACGGAGACGACGAATAGGGGCGGTAAGAGAGTGTTGTAAGCACGTGAAGACGGCGGGCGACAAAGCGGGCGTAGAGGCGAGAAGAGAGGGCAAAGGTCCGGCCGGGTCGCGCCTAGGGGTCGGGTCGTGTCGGGTCGGACCCGAACGAAGAAGAGAGACAGGGAGAGGGGGGCGTCAGGGGGGGAGGGGAAGGCGCGGAAACGGCGAGACAGAGAGAGGGGG